GAAGGGAGATGAATTCTGTTTTTAGTATACTAAGTTTTCATGCTTGTGTAGCTCAATGAAATGCCATCATGTAACAGGCATATATAATTGTAAAGAGGTTGAGAAAGTAGGCTAGGGATTGGAAGCTATCCAAGTACAAATAGTAATAGAAGCCTAGGATTTGATGAGTTTGTGTATCTGATAATGAATAGTCTTAAGAGCTGTAAATGGAAATACAATGAAACATTCAGCTGTTTCGACCTTAGTGACATGGGCTGCTTGATCACTAGTATCTGATGCATCAGAGTAGGGTGGAAACTGAAATCTTTTGGTTGAATCACAAAGTGGTCATTGGAGACTTGAGACTACAGTGATTGGGTAGAGTATGGCAGAGTAAAAGTTGGATTAGAGAGACATTAAGATGAGTTAAGGAAGTGGAACACTGTCGTTAAAAAACATTTCTGTGAAGGGTAAGAAAACTGGAAAAGAAAAAAATGCCAATTTTTGGCTTAAATTTGAAAGGGTCTCATTTAATAAGTGAACAACAAGGAAATATACAATATCAAGGCTGAAATCTTGTTGAAGGGATATGGTAAAAGGTTTGGCTTGGCTGTTTCATATAAATATTTTAATTATTCTTATTTTAGTTCTATATCCCCCTCCTGCTTTCTGTGCCTGCTGTCTCTGTGATTGGTATCTCTCCAGTCTCTGCTGGCAGGAATGTCTCCTACATTGCTGTAGCCTTCTCATGTGTATGTGCATGTGTGTATGCGTGTTTGTTCTGAATTGCAGTTTTCTCTGCATCAGCAATATAATCCCACCTGCTTTCTCTCTTCCAGAATGAATGAATGCATTTTAGTGGGATTTTGTTAGGAAGTAGAGGAAAATGCATGTGTTTAGTTTGTCTTATACACAGTAGTCCATAGGTATTTGTTGAATAAATCAATGCTGTTGAGAAAATTGGGCAAAGCATACTTTTGTTTAAATTAAATGAAAATTATGGCTGTAGGATATAGGTAATTAAATGAATCCTTTTATTAATTTTAAAAGGCCTATTTTAGAAGGGAATCCTCATAAATCTCATGTTGTCACTTATATGTGGGAACTAAATATTAAAACAATTGATCTAATGGAGACAGTAAGTAGAATGAAGGTTACCAGAGGGTGGGAAGGGTAGTTTTGGGGGATAGGGAGCGGTTAAAGTGACAGTGATTAATGGTTGCAAAGCTATAGTTAGGTGGAAAGAATGAGCAGTATTTGATAGCATGACAAAATGACTGTAGTCAACAATAAGTTATGGTGTACTTTAAAATAACTAAAAGAGTACAATTGGAATGTTCCTTACACAAAGAAATTATAAATGTTTGAGGTAATGCAGACCCCAGTTACCCTGATTTGATAATATAGATTGTATACCTGTATCAAAACATCACATGTACCCTATGAATATATACAATTATGTCTACAGCCGCAC